TCCCGTACAAATGAAGAGGCCAGCCATGCCACCAGAGGGGTAAATGTTTGTATGTGTATGCAGTCACCGTCACTGAAATGGTGTGCGCACCTGGCTCCCATCTATCCACCATTCCAGTAAGCAGGTGGAAACACCATTTTATTGACGCTAACAGTGTCAGCAGGTGTCTGCCAGGTGCCTTTCCAGAGACACTGGCACTGTACCTGGCTGCCACCTATGGTGAGACCCCATGGAGCCCTGGTGAGACCAGGGCTCTGTGGGATCTTGCCAGGGCTCTGTAGGGTCTCACCAGAGCTATGTGGGGGTCTCACCAGCCTGGTTAGACCCCTCAGAGCCCTGGTGAGATCCCACACTGCCCTGGTTAACACAGGACTGACTGAGGGAACCAGCAGGGGTAATAAACAATCACTACCTATAATACGCTTGCAAAACATAATTTGCGAAAACGGATCATGTGTTCTTTATAGCAATTTATGGTGGTTTGAAAAATGATAGGCCCCAGCAGTCTTGCAAAGTAGAACAGCCTAAAGATGTTCTTACATGTATTCATGCAAAGCTATGGTAATTTACAGTGCTGAGAAAATGGGTTTGTAAAATAGCATGCATTTAAAGACATGGGTATGGAATCAATCACTGTGTTCTCTGAAGATCACGAAATTATATAATACAAGCGTGCTATAAGAGAACAGCGAATAGGAAATGTAAACAAGCAAACAGTCTTTTTCAGCCTTGGTGTATTCACTGAGAGAGCAAAAGGAGCATTGGCAGTGTTCAAAGAACTGAGCAGGTCTTTCCCTTCTGAATAAGCCCAAGTGACATACTTTAGGCACATTGTTAACAGGAAGTTCCTAGCTGCCCTGCAGAAACAACTAAATGACCTACATAAGCATTTATTTGCCTCCTTACCAGATCTGAATGAAGATACCTCAAGTCACAAAGGAGACTGGGTAGTGATAAGTCATCACAACAGGAGGGTCTGGATCCAAGGTTTGATGGACCTTTCTGTATCCAGTTGACTATCCCTACTTCTATGAAGGTAGAAGGATGAGACACCTGGATTCACGCCAGCCATTGTAAACATGATTCTCTTTCATGTGATGATATGTGCCAGTTTACTAAGGGTGATGATGGTTCTAACTGATGATAATCTAAAGCAAATGAGGACATTTTTGCTTCTTAAGTCTGGTACCATCAGAAGATGATGAGCATCAATAGGCTATGAGACATCCTACACCTCAAACCCCAGATTGTGATGCATTCTCAGAACCTTATCAAGATGCAGAAACCCCCATCCAGTGTCTGAATGTATGGGTTCATTTTCTTGATTTTCTTGGGTTATGAGATATGTAGATAGGGGGATCAGTAAATGATCAAGAGGGAGAAATGAGGTGGAAAGAAAAATATTAAGATGGTAACTTTCATTTAAAATGGCTTCTGAGTTGATTGGTAATCGCTAGGGATGCATAGCTTCTTGATTGCCCGGGAAGCCGGCTCCACGCAGTTTGGCCGGCTCCATGCAGATTGGCCGGGAATGCAGCTTCCCAGTCAATCAGCATCGAGCTGGCCAAACAGTTGATTGGCAGGGAAGCCAACTTCCCAATCAGGAAGCTCGGAGGCGGATCATTACCCGCTGTGCGGCTTCCTGATTGGCTGGAGAGCTGGCTCCATGCTTTTTGGCTGGGATACCATGCGCAGAAAGCGCTGCCGGCCAATATACGGCCACCTCATGTTCAGCATGTGATGCCACATGCGATGGCGGCGGGTATGCGCAGAACACGCCGGCGTTTAAATTGGGTGTAATAGTAGAGCCATTACAACTATCAATTTCTATTTCATGGTAATTAACATCTCCCAATCAGTGCACACATTTCTTTTTGTTTAAGGATTTAAGGGGTTGATTTACTAAAGGCAAATAGGCTATTCATTTTGCTATTTACTTTTACTTTGCAAAGTGAACAGCCTATTTAGTAAATCAACCCCAGTGTCTCTACTTTTATGTTAGCAGGATGAATACTGATATGTAGTTCAACACCTAATGTCTCAGCACAATCATACTCTAGTAACACAGGGATACATTACAGGGTTATTGCAGAGCTATTATTGTTTCCTAGTGGTGACGACAGTGGAACAGGCTTGTGCAATGTGCATTGGTATGACCACTTATAGCCTCTATTAGGATAGTATGTGACACCATGACAATGCAAGAGAGCAATTGGGAGATAAGGACAGAGCATTCTCACTTTCTAACAGAAAGTACTGCACAGGGAACTTCATGGCAGGATCACCAGGTATTATTTTCATAAAAAAGCGGATTTACAAATATTAAAATTACTCCTGAAAATGGCATTAATATATTAAGGCTTATATTGAGTTTTAGTTATTAGGTTTATATATGTTTTAAGTTGCCTTTGTACACAGAGATAATGTTGTTCAACACATTTTCATCACAGTGGAATTGTAGTAGATTCGGCCAAATTTGACACACACAGTTATTCACCATGGGTGTTGAATGTCTAATACATATGTGGATTGGGGAACAATTCATTTTATTGGTGCTTTAAGGTCAGCAGCTTGGACTCAGGAGCTGATTAACCAGTGGCATTAAGGAAATAATGGAGAGCCTTTCCGTGCAGATAGCTAGCTTATGCATGGACATGAATCTTTTAGTCAGCAGACCTAAGGATATATACGAACACTTATGTGCAGAAATTGATATGTGAATTAAGCGGGCTTAGCACAGTATAAGCAAACTCGGAAGCTGCAGATGGGAATTTGCAGAGGAAATGCTAAAATCTAGATTCTGGGCTGTAGAAAATAAAATATGGGAAAAGCAGGCAGCAGGGACCAGTATCTAATTACTCCTACCTTTGCCAGGAACATTGTCCCTATACTAATAGGCACCATGACAAACTATTCATTGTGCCATCTAACCCCCCTGTTGAGAGATAAAATTGAAATTGTCAAAGTAGATAGTGGAGCAAGATTTTGGAAAAACTGGAAGAACTGCTTTTCAGTTTTGCAAAAAAATGAATTTACAATATAGTATACTAGTTTTATTACAACATAAAATGTTTATAGCTTGCACATGAATATTAACAGAATTTGATGAAGTCTTCTAGGTCAGAATTTTGAGAAAACTTTCCACAGTAATATGCGGTCTTTATTTCTTTTCTTTCTAAATAACTTACCCTAATGACCCCACTACCCATGCTAACTAATCCCACTTGCACTTACATTAGATCAGTACGAGATGCTGTCCTAGAGTCTACGTCGTCGTAGAAGCCTTCTTGCAGGCTTACAAGTAGGCAATTGTTTGTAAACCTAATAGGAACCCAGAACCTCTGACCCTGAATCTCTCTGTCATTCAACACAGTGCACAGCACTTCTGCCACTGCTCCTCAATTGTTACCCCACACTCCTGCCACTGCACTTCCCTTTCACTGATCCTCCCCCTGACGGTGCAAACCACCTTCTTAGTGCAAACCATCCTGTCATGGCACACTTCTCTGTCCCCTCACACCTCACACTGCACAAACCACTGTTAATTCACACCCCCACCCCCTCCCTGGCACTGCTCATCACCTGTCACTGGTCATCCCCCTGCCAATGATCACCTTTCTTTCACTGTACATCTCCCTGCCACTGCGCACCCCACTGTCAGCCAGCACCCCTTGCCTGCTTCAATGTACATTCTGAGAGGAAGAGAGGCTGAACCCAGAGTTTCTGGGCTCTTTGCTATCTTGGCATTTTGGTTCCCCTTCAGCTACAGTCTCCAGATTTGCCAAAAACTCAGGAGAGTTGCCTCACCTGCAAAGAGATGTGGGAGAGGACGCAAAACTGTGTGTCTGCTGACTCCTGGGTGAGTTGACTGGTATGACTTTAAAGTGACTCTTTCAACACAGGGTCACTTGTATCGAAAAGCATACCTTTAAAAGAAGAGTGAATATGTTTAAGTTTCCGGCAGCCGTTGTGTTGAAATGCCATTGCTCTGTCATTACCCTGCCAATGCATCTATTTCCCACTTCGGGGTGTGTACCGTACCTGCTCCCTTACCACAACACATGCATTGGGGTAAACAGGTATTCAACCCACCCAAAGTGCTGGGGAGAAGAAAGTAGCTGCATTTCAACACAGAGGCCACCAAAAAGGTAAGTATATTCTCTCCACTTTTGCAGGTATTCTCTTTTGAATACAAGTGCTGACAGGCTCACTTTAAGAGAGCACATCCTACTTGCTAAATGGTTAATTTATTTATCAAATCATTATGGTACTGCACCTATCTACTTGTTTTTGTCTCTAATTTGGTGATTGCACATGCACTTGCTGGTAATGCTGGAACATCCTTGTTGCTGCCTCTCACACACAGAAACCCTGATGTTAAAAAAGAAACCTCAATGCTAAAAAGTTTCTCACAGCCATCAATTTTAAGCTTGCCTTGACATTTTGAATGTGATTGGTAATGCAGGAAACAGAGAGAGAAATTGACATAGCACAATAGTACAGAAGTACACTGCCATTGCTGGAAATCCTTCTAAAAAGTCTAGTTCCTTGGGAGTGTGTGCTTTTAGACATTTTCTTTATAGAAATTAAGTTAAGACATTTGCTTTAGCACATTACCAAAACCTTTCTGAAAAGGTATGGAATTTTGGCAAAAATATTTAATCATGCCCTACAATAACAAATAAAATGCTTAACAGGCTTTAGGATTTAGTGAATGAAATCCTGTTGCTGGTCTGTCAGTAATGTTATAACAGGCTGGATATGTTTGCATGTTGATTTAGCCCTCTTGAAAGCAGCGACTAGTAAACAGCAAGAGGCTGCAATATGAGCTGGCTCCAGGCAAAGTGTCACTCCACAGTTGAGACGCAAGAGTCTGGAAGATTCTTGTCATTTTATCTATCCCCCTCTTCTAGGCACGCCTCCACCCCATCCCTCATCCACACTAAGTGTATAAAGGAGATGCTGAGGTGAGCAGTCCCATGCAGAGAAACTTATTATAGTTTACTGACTGACTTTAAATTATAGTAATCTGTCTTAACTGTGTTTTAGAAGCAGGCTTTCTTGTTGGACATATATTAAGCATCAGCAGACCTCACAGTATAGCATCATGGGGTTTTTCACCCTTTATATTTTGGTGCCACTGGTATTTTACCTGGCACAGGGAAGTCCTCAACTCCGGAGAGCCAATGATCGCCAGGGGCAATGTACCTATACTTTCACAGTGCCCAGTCCTTCGGAAAGCAGCTGTACTGAACCTGGAGAAGCAATGACAACTATTAGGGAGCTGCAACGTGAAAATGCAGCCCGTACCCAAGATATGGCTGCTTTACAAACTAGGTTAAGCTTGTTGGAGAAGATGGTAAATAGACTCTTAGGAGGGAAAGAACTACAACAAGCCAGTTCTTCACCACAGGCATGGGCAGATAATCAGAAGGAGTTGGAGACATTAAGAATGCAAAAGGATGAATGGGAAGGACAGAGGGTGAGCCTTGAGATGGCCTATTCTGACCTCTTGAAGGAAAAGTCATCTTTGGAAGAGGAAAAACAAAGACTGACAGAAAGGCTAGAAAGAGTACAAGGACAATGTCCACCTGTGACTGAGGTATCAAGGAACAGGGACCACCAGGTTTCACCAAGACAAGGTAAGTCCAGAAATATTACATACTGTACTATTATAATTGCACGTTACTATGAAATGGTAATAACACTTGGAAAAGTCTGCCAAACCAGATGACAAAAATTGAAACTCCTGATTTAAAGTTTGCAAAAATGTCAAACTATGATATATAAGCAGGAAGCTAGTTTTCACAATTATGAAAAAAAGGTTAATTTGGTGCTGCACAAGGGTAGTCTGTAAGGTAAGTTAATATTGGTTTACTATTACTCTAGGACAACAAATGAGGTAGTTCCTAACAGAATATTTTGCACTTGCCACAAACAGGGATGCCAAACTAACATGTTTGATTTCCGTTTGGACTTCCAGACCAGAGGAGACCATAGTCTGAAATGATCACTTATGGTTCACAACCTGTTGATTAGAAGTATCCAGAATCCAGTTCTCTTTTCATAACCACCAAACCATTAAATGTTCATAAATGCAGAATAATGCTAAGAAACATGATGTCCATTAACTCACAGCGACCAAACACATATCAGCTTCTATGAAAAAAGAGGTGAATTGTGTTTGGCTGCAATGAATCTGTGTATGTTATTGATTATGGATCTCGGTTTATCTCTCTGTCATCACATACCTATTGCTATGTTTACAACAATATTTCCTTTTATTGACATCACAAACCATACAGTCACCTTAACTGTTAATATTGAGAGTATTCTTATTCATATTCTTAGGAATATGCTTAAAAGATTGCCTTCGTTTTCAGTTACAGCATTTCTTCAGTATACAGTCCATCTAAAATACAAGTAGCATTTTACAGTAATAGTATAAACGTTACTGTTTGTCTCCTGAGATAAGTGTGGAAGAATAATGTAAACTAAAGATCATAACTTAATTACAGTCATCGGCAGTTAAGTGAGGAATGTTTTGGTTTCAGTGAAAGGGTTAATTTATCTACCCCTGGAAGTAACTTAATTCACAAGTGTTTTAGATTTGTGCCTGCGTTATCTGGCCCCGGATCCTGTACAAATACACAATTTGCTCTGGTTACTCAACTTTTTAGTCTCACAAGTGTTTACATTTCAAACCTAATCCACACATGCCAGTTGTAAGACTGTTAAAAAGGGGATGTTTTGTATTTTACTATACCATAAGAATAACTAACAGATTGGTATGCAATACAACCTGTTTATAGTATGCCCCATTTGTACAACCCATGCAGAAGACATACCTGCTTAAAGTGACTCAGTCATGCGAGAAGTAGGGGTTGCCACTGCTAAAAATGACAAATGCCTGTCTGCGTCTGACCTCAGTATGTTTTAGTCAGAATTCCAAAACAAGCATGCTGTAAATAAATGTACCAGAAACGTGTCAGAACTACTTGTCTCTACACTTGTTCCGGGTCAGTGACTCAAACAGCATTGAACTCAAAGCATCAGAACTAGCATTCTCATAGGAAAGTTCAGTAATGGCAGCCTCTATTAATCTTGCATGACAGTGTCCCTTTAAACAGATCTCAATTGTATGCTGTAGCTTTCTGAGAGGGCTGAATGTAGATACATACACAACACACTGACCCATATTTCGAATATACACCTTGTACTAAACATTTGGGCAATATTTTAGTTTTGGCGCAATAGTCAATTTAGGGAGGATGTAAGTCCTATCTCGGTGACAGTAGCTTGCTAAAACTCAAATGTCAAGTCACCTCTTCAATAACGATGTCCTGTTTTTTTTTAGCATGGCTGCTTGACCTAAGTTATGTCTGAAAGATCATGACCTGCTTCCTAGTCTTATTTAAGTGACAACATATTCATTAGGTTGCAAGGATTAGTAACATGAGACAGGACATACCTAAAGGGACCCCCACTATCTGGTGTCAGCAAAGTATTTATGACCTGATAATGAATATATGAATTCCACAGAATTAAAGGGCATCATAAGTTCACACAAGGCTCATTTAGCTTGGTGTTAGACCACACTGCTTTAAATTAAACTGTATAAGAGCAGCTACCTGGCTGAAATGTAATTGATCAAAATAATGCCATATGTTCCCAGGATAATGTCATAGACATTCTTATGCCCAAAACACCATTTAACAAAGTGGATTACCCTAGAAATGTGTGCCACCTAAAACACAGGTGTGTAGTGGGAACCTAAGCGCTAATACTTTTTGTTCACACTGAACAAAAGTATTTTCTTTTAATGTAATGATATTCCTTTAATGCAGGAAACCTCAGTTCTTGGTCAGTGTGACCTGCTTATTTTCCAGTCAGGAGAGTAACAATAGGCCATCATTCCCACCTTCTCCTAATGTGCATTTGGGACATGGGAAGGCACCCTATATTGGGTTGCTTGCATTGAATATTAAGCACTTTGATAAGAAACCCATTTTATTGACTCCCAACTGCATAATAAGACAGACAGAAGTGACTGCTTTAGGAGCTATAGCTTATAAAAACACCGTTGCTGGGAAGCAAGAAGACCACATTGCCTAAAAATCTGACCTTGCCCTCGTTGTTGGTATAATTTTATTTACGGATAACATTTTGAAAACACATTTATGCTTTTAGGTCATTTTGAACCTGACACCTATCTAGAGGGTGCAAAGAGTGAGTAAGAGCTCCAGGGACAGTCATGAAGTTCAGCCATAACGAGTGTTCTTCTTTACTTTCCAGCTGTGTCCTCACATTACATCATCTACTGAATAAAATATTTCTCCTTCAAATTCCAATTTTTTTTTTCTGTTCCTGTAGGTTGTGCCTATGTTCATTCAAATATTAGAAACTGTAGTACATTTGATGTAAAAAAAAAACATTTCAGAGAGAAATATGAAGGGTGCCATTGCTGGGTTCCTTCTAAAAATGCTAGTTACTTGGCTATTATGCTGATTTGATGGTCGCCATACTTTGTAAAGTATGTAGATCTAAAAATACAGAATAAAGCGGGAACTGCATACTTGTTCAGAGTTTGTGACTCATAGAATTGAAGCCAGAGGGTCAGAGTGGAATATGTGAACAGCATGTGTGCAGGGAAGATGGCTTCAGAAAGGGATCAAAAAGTAACTTGCCTGGGGCCTTGTTTGGTCTTAATTTGGTTTCAGATAAAGAGTTGGAGCAGAGTTATAATTTATGATATACAGCAAAGAGTTTGCCACAAAAAGCACCATAGATACGTCGGATAACTACTACAAACTCTGGAACATACAGCTGTATTCCACACTTCATTCAATGTTGTTCAGGGATGTCCTGGACATGGGAGTTATGAATTGTTGAGTGGATGTTTTGTAGAAGAGGACAGGTTAGCTTCTTCCGATATAATTGGCACAGATGATGGAGAGGAGAGCTCTGACATCTCATTGCTGGAATGGATAAAGGATAAGTCTGCCATAATGTGCTAATATGCTTTGTATACTAACACAGTATGGCAAACACCTCCTTGGGCCCCACAATTTCTAATTTGTGTTGGCAGTTTACTACCATTTTTAGATGATATGTGTCTATAGATATAAGAGGATGATCAGGCATGGCGGCACATTTGCCATTCTCAGGCCTGGAGTTTCATATTGATGAATATGAATAACAGGAAAAATTAACAATATAAGTCATTCCGCGTTGATGAAGCTTCTTTCTGTTAACATAGGTCTAGTGTAAGCAGTGTGGGCTGAGAGTGTTAAGGTTACAGGATTGCAATGATCTTATGAGACAGGTGTTGAAAATGATTTGTCATCAATAACATGTTAACAGCATAGTGCTAAGAAACCTATTTTAAAAATCTCAGAATATGCATACGATTATAAAACCCTCTGTCATATGTCACAGGGACACTAAACCTGAGTCTTTCTTCCTTTACTGCTTACTTTGATGACAACCCAAACATTCACTTTGTTGGCTAACATACTAGCTTAAAGAATGTTTGCAAAAATGGTTACTAATAATTTAAACATTTCCAACCCAAAGTGAATACTCAGGTGAAGCAGGACTTCAGTTTTCAGTCATATGAACAATTAATTGCTTGTTTAAAGGTGACCTGACTGGCATGTAAATACAAAGTCTGCTTACCTTGCACCCTTTCCCCCTCAACTCAAATTAAAAAAAGCTAAGTGAAAGCAATGAAAAATATAAAACATTCAAAGAAATATGCCAGACATAATCACCTTACGCCCCCGCTCTTGCCATCCTTGCATAGGCAACAGTGGCTTCACTGGGCCAGTAGCCACACTTCCCCTTTAGCATGTAATTGGAATAGGTACACACTGTATTGCTCCCTTGACTATTATTTATCTTACAGGGATACTGTATTGGCCCAGGGATAGTTTTATTTTATGCTTGTATAGTGATTGACCCAACCAGGACCAGAGCTGCAAGGTGTAAACAGAGAATATGGATTTGACATTGATAAAAACATCTGAATAGGGTATGAAGTATCCTATGTTGTTCCAGGCTGAGGAGATCAACTAAGTTCCATATTAGCAGTCTTTCCAGCTTCAGAAATAAAGAAAACATTATTAAATTATATTTTATTATGTCAACAGTTTTATAGTTACAAACTATACATGTGTTTTTTGTTGTGTAGAGTCCTTCCATAAGAGTAAATTCTATTCGGTTATGCTCTGATTACAGGACCGTCACCTGCTGAAATTCATGGGAGTGGAAGTAAAGTATCTGTAGCAGCAGCAGCAGTAGCAAGAGATGGAACTGCAGATTGTAAGTGACCTCTGTTGGTAGGTTTTCTGAAAGGGCCACACAATTATTTCCAGGAATATACTTGGCTTCACTCGTTCTGGACCAAGGTAGACAGATGACATAATTTTAAATGTTATCTAGTGGGGTCATGTTTTTCAGGTCACAGATGATGTACACTAAACTCTATATACTGTACAGTAGGTAAAAATATAATTATGGATATGCATGTCATTGGATTAGTTGCAGCTTCATTTCACTGTAAAATAAGACTTTAGGAAGACTGTAAATATATTCAAGGACCATAACTTGTCAGAACTGTCATTCCTCATTACTTTCATGTGATATTGATTAGTGCAGAAAGTTTGACCTTGAAATTATATCCTTTTTGGCTAACATAAGTTATTAATGATGCATGCTTTTGGCATTCCTTAGATCCCCTCGCCAGGCTTTATATATGCTTGATATGCTCCTCGTTGTAACTCTGTTTATTAATATGTAGGTTTCAGAATCAGAACCATTTTCAGAAATGTATAAAGCCTAACAAAAGGTATATAAGGCCCCTTTCACATGGGCACCTTCAGTTTCAATCAAGAGTGAATCCTTGCACAGATTTCCTCTTGATTGAATGGACGTCACCGTTGTGACATCCATGTCCGTCCAGTTTTTTCCTACATCTTGTGATGGAGGAATAAAATGCAATTACCAGGCCCCATGTTAGTCAATGGGCATCCGGATCTAAACAGACCAGTTTCTGTTTACATCCAGTTACCCCGGATCCAACGCAATCAAGTCAGGCAGAAATAAACACTGTTCCATTTGTTTTTCCGAACCTGGTCCGAAGTCAGGGGTACCCTAATGCAAACGGATGCACATCCATTTAGATCCGATTCTGATCAGGTCCGCCCCAAAAACTAACAGGCGGACCTGATCGGAAAGCCCGCGTGAAAGAGGCCTAAGGAATTCCGAAAGCTTGAAATCTTAACTTAATTTTTAAAAAAATCACATATACTCCAAACTTTTTTCCAAAATGTTTTCCTGGTTGTATCTGAATTCCCATTATACCCTAGAGCAGGGGTAGGCAAACTGCTGTGGCCCTACAGCTGTGGTGAAACTACAAGTCCCATTAGGTATTGCAAGACTTCGACACAGGCCACAGGCATGACTTCCCGAGGCAGTTTCATGATGGGATTTGTAGTTTTTTCACAGCTGGGGGCCAAAGCTTGTGTACACCTGCACTAGACCCTTTTCTACTCCAGTAAGCTCAACAGGTCATGAATCACCTCATGGTTGCAGCTGCAGTAGTTGCTGACCAACAACAGAGAATTAAAATTACTTGTGCAAGGTCAAGGTGCAAAGGGAAATCCATCCGTAGTTAGTCAAATGGAATGAATATAGATAACATAAGACAAAGCCAGATATTATAGTAAAGATTTCCCAACTAAAGTATTTTGTTCTGTACCAAGGGGCAACAAGTCGTAAAACGTTACAGTGATAACATACACAAATTACAAAGAATACTAACAGAAGCAAAAACAAATCATAATGTACTTTGAGTGTGGCTAGCGCACAGTCCATAGAATGCATTACTTGCAGAGTAATAGAAGACTAATGATGGTGGTAAACTGCCACCTTGCTTACATATTGTTGACTTTTACTTTGTAGTGTCTCGATGGGGAGCAGATGGTGTGGGCTACCAGGAGCTGAAATCAGAGCTTACAGCACTTCCAGCTTCAAAAATGATCCCAGAAAACCAATCAACTGCCCAGACTTTGGAGAATACTAAAATGGGTGGTAAGAATATTCAATTTTCTGAAAATTTTTTCAGCATTACTAATGTTTACAATAAAGTCTGATTGTTTTCTTTCTTGTTGTGTCTATGCCTGCTACTTTCAGGAAGCTGTGGTGAACTTACCTGGGTTGGAGAACCCACTACTTACCGAAAGGCTGACAACATTGCTGGAAAATATGGAGTCTGGATGAAAGACCCAGAACCAGTTTCTCCATTTAATCAAGACACCATCTGGCGGATCAATACAGTGGGAGCAGATATACGTCAAGTTTTTGAGTATGAGAACCTTGACCAGTTAGTAAAAGGTTATCCAGCCAAGGTCTATGTAGTACCTCGCTCTATGGAAAGCAATGGTGCTGTAGTCTACAAAGGTTCCCTCTATTATGTAAGACGAAAGTCTAGAATAATAGTAAAGTATGATTTCAAGACTGAAACTATTGCAATTCAGAAGGAGCTTCCAAATGCTGGTTATCACGGGCAATACCCTTACTCTTGGGGGGGCTATACAGATATTGATCTGGCTGTAGATGAGATGGGATTATGGGTTATTTATAGCACAGATAAAGCTAAAGGATCTATAGCCATATCACAATTAGATCCCAAAACGTTAGAGGTAAAGCAGAGCTGGGAAACCACAATTCGCAAACACTCAGTGGCCAATGCATTCATGGCCTGTGGTACCATGTACACAGTTGGAAGCTATTCTTCTGGTATCACCACACTCAGTTTTGCTTACGACACTCATACTGGTGTTCAAAAGCAAATTAGGGTCCCTTTTATGAATCAGTATGGCTATGGCAGTATGGTGGATTACAATCCCAGTGAAAAGAAAATTTATGGCTGGGACAATTACAACATGGTCAACTATGATGTGAGGTTGTCTAAAATGTGAGTAGATATGGAAGTTGAAAAACAAAAGTGGACAGGGCAGGGTGGGATGACTGCCTAATGGCATGGGGTACACTAGAAGGGAGGGGTAAGCTTTTCTAAACTTAAAAAGCCAAGAACTAGAGGAACTACCTCTTGTGCACTGACTCCCCATATTATCCATGCTTCAGCCACTGGAAACAATGATCCCTTATGCAGTGAGATGACGTTTACTCAAATGGATGCAAAAGGGACAAAAGTGCTTTGCATAGTTTTGTGGCATTCAGAACTTCTAGTAGTATGTAAACATATATGACTGACTTTTGTAAAGATTCCACTGATCTAAAAGACCAACACAGAGCTAGGAATAAGGCAGAGACATGATAATTCTCAAAGTCTCATGATTACATTACAGTAGGGAAAACCAACACTATCACACTTTATTAAATGGTTGCTCAAAAACAGGCAAGGACAACAGTTATAGAAAGATAGAGCTATAGCTAAATACTAAACATATACATTACCACTATAGTAAGTTGGTTCTAGTTATGTAATGTGATGATATTATTTGGTGTGCTCTGCCTAATTGGTTCCAGCACATTTTTTTGTATCTGTATGCAGGTAAGAATTCAAGTTTTCATATTCTGTGTTATATAGACTATTCACATAAAGAAAATAAGATTTGTAATGTACAGTATGTGGCATGAATGTATCAAATTTCTCTGGAATTTACTGGAGTATCCTAATCTGCTCTAGTGATTGTTAGAATGAAGGAGAAGTACGGTACGAAATGACTGTGTACCTATTCAATGTTCTGTTCAAAAATCTCCTCTCTGTTCCATGGCCACCAACCAAAGACTAACACTGAGAAAAGGATGGATAAAAGTATTGTGTGCATGTTATGTTATATGACACCATATTAGTTTTTGAGTGGCAGCTATTGACAGAGCGGGGTCTACTGTTGCATATAGATATACTTGGAAACATAAAGTTGTGTATACAAACCCTTTTTCTGTCAAGGAATTCTTTACCTGCAATGTAGCCTACAGGCCTCTCTTTTCAGCATTCATCATGTTTAAATTCAGTGTAATGTTGTCCCTTCTTCACATAAAGGCTGCTGCTCAACCTCTTTTAAATAACCAAAAAATCATCAAGATCATGCCCTTGGAATAAGCAGATGAAAGCTAACAGATTATAGCCACCATAGCCTCATGTAGACTAGTGCACTGCCAATCATGTTATAGCTTTCTGAATGTAAATTGTGTTTTCAATGGTTTTGATTTTGTTGAAGATGTAACCTATGAAATTATTAAGCATGTACAACAGTTCTTGAAATCACCAGTTTGGTTTTCATGAAACGATACATAGACATATTTTTGTCTGAGACAAGACTAATTTACAGAGGGGAGGAATTAAATTTGGGTCTGTGAACACTGGCCCAAGAGGTTGTTCTCTCACCCAATATAATTCTTTACTGCCGTGGCCTTCCAAAAGCGTGCACAACCTAAAGGAAACCTTTCCAAGGAAGAACATGAAAGCTACCATTGCTGACTTCTTATTCTGAAAAAGCAAATTGCATGGTTGTCATGCTGACCATGTTGCTTTAATACTTTGGGCTTCATTTACTAAAGCAAAAAGGCTGCTCACTTTGCAAGGGAATTTTCCATTAGTGAATGAGGTGAAGCTCTGCTGACTTCAATTATCCAGTCATGTGCAAGCAAAAATACAGTTTTATGTTTTTATTTTCCTTGTACATGATTGGATATTCTTTGCAAAGTCACATTTCACTACATTAACCAAGCTAAGGTAAACCTTGAAAAGTGAAAAAGCCTATTTAGCCCAAATCAAGCCCTTTGAGTCACTAACTTAGAACAAGCATGCAGATAGGACTCTACTCATCTAGTCTGATCTGCACACTTGTTCCAGGTTAGTAACTCAGAAAATGCTGAAGCCTGTGGTCAGTGTGATAGCCAGACAACCAGCATTTTTAGAAGGAATTTAGTAATGGAAGCCCCCATGTTGCTCTCTAATAAACGCATAGTAGTAAGGTATAGACACCACCTCTGAAGGTAGAAATGATAAGCCTACGCCACTAGGCACGAACAAAAATATGATGTACATTCCACTATAAACAGTTGAATTATTTCAAAGCAATGTTTTAATTCCTTCCCTTAAGGGCTAAACTGTGTCCATGATTTTCAACTCTTCTCTCACTGGCTAACTGTAAAACAAAAGAACTTTATAGGATAAGCTGCATGAAATTTGATTACATTGTTCTGGAATTAACAACTTACATTTGTGGCACTGAATAGTTAATTTTTGATTCTACCAATTAAATACATGCTATTTAGCTTAAAGTAAACCTGTTATAAAAGAAAAATGGAGGCCGCCACTGCTGACCACTTTTTTTTGAAAATTCTAGTTGCCTGGATGCAAAGCTGATCCTTTGCTTCAATACTTTCTCAGTCATTGAGCAAGAACAAGTGTGAAAATAAGGACTTATGACTTTTTCTGACTTTCTGAATCTGCATGCTTTTTTCAGGTTAGTGACTCAAAAAGTATCGAACCAGGCCACTTTTTTTTTTTCTTATGACAGATTTACTTTAAGCAGTCCACACATGTAGGGATTCGATCATCTTAAGGATTTGAATATAATCTGCCTTTACCTGACATTTACATCATTTTTTCAGTTCAAAGCAGGTAATGCTTAATCACAAAGCCACAGAGGCAGTTCTATATCTTAATCATTGCTGGCCTATTTGCAGAGATTAATTAAAAATCATACATAGATTTCAAACTCCCTGGGTCCCATTGTGACAATGGCACCAGTCTCCCTAGGCCTGCCAGATTGTTACACAACTGTGATAATATCATATGTATCCCACAATCTTATTAAGGGGCTAATTTATAAAGGTTTCACCCAGCACATAGCTGGGTGGATGCTGTTCACATGGCATTAGATCCAAGGTTCTCAACTAGTGGGGCGCGACTCAAAAGTGGGTTGCAACCCTGTGTTCAGCGGGTCGCCATGTGCCTTCCATTGCGCTAGGTAAGAGGCTCCTCAGCGCCCCCCTAGCGCAGCACTGTCAGTTCTAACGCCAAGCAGTCATTCAAAATAAGTGTAATAAGCTAACAAGTGTCCTTTGCGTGCCCTCTAGAGGTGCCTGGACCAGAGTGATGTCACATTCTGGCTCCCGCCACCTCTACATGGCATGCAAGGGAGCTGTACAAGCAATGAACGTATAGATGGCGCTGCGTCACAGCAGCCCACACTGGACTTCTGGTTCTGGTGCGGGAGGTGCGTTGTGTTGCCATTCATTTGAATGGCACTCCAAACTCACCTCCTGCCCACAGTTCGATCACCCGCACCAGAATGTGTGGTGCGACCTATTGACCAAGGACAAATATGGGTCCTGAGGTTACACGAGTTGAGAACCACTGCCCTAGATGGCACTGAGGACCAAAGGAAATTCCTATTAAACATACAACATATATAAATAAGCCCCTAAGTGTAAGGACTCCTTCCGTTAACTTCATTTGTTTTATATTTAGGCCCTCATTAGCATATGTGTGGTCTGGTGTGGTGTGTTATTGCTCATTAACATGTAATGTGTTAAGGCAGCCATGTGATAGCAATGCATATAGAGATAGAGACATGCCCATGATGTTTAGCCCTAATTACCATTTAATGAGTGTTATTGAAGCCTTTCAGGAAACATTTATAATTGTATTTGTTGCTTTTGAGTAACTTGTGTATTTTAAAAATAAAGAAATATATTTTCTAAATGTTCTTAAGAAATCTGTATTCTTTTAACCTTTGATCTTGGTGAAACATTGGACATCTTTAGGTGCACTTTCTACACTGGCAGCTCCCAAGTCTAGTTCTTAGTTTTCACCAACAGTGCATTCTTTGTCTCTTCACACATTCTGAGATGACATAATTAGCATGCTTCTTCTTAGACGCTGATAATTAAAGTTCAACTTCAGGCAGATGAAAAATTAAATAGGACCTATACTGTGAAAGCCATGCCCAAAAAAAGTCAAGTGAACGGCCGGGGACTAGTCACCTGCATCATATTCAGGCTCCCTGCATCCAATATTTTCCCCATTACTGACCTACTATGCCTTGTTTCACAATGTGTCTGTATGTGGAGGGGGTCTCATGGTAGAGGAGCAGTGCTTTGCTTCCTGATGTTAGAGGCTGCCCACTGATGATTGCCAATCTCGTGACTGATGGGGTAACCAGAAAATATGAATATGCCCTGTACTTGCTGTTCCATGCCACATAAGCCCATAGTAAATTGCGGAAACCTAGGCTTTTGCTAGTTCATTGTCTAACACCATGTTGTCTATGCAAAAAAATCACCCTAAAAAAGGCAATGCTGAGAGTCAAGTAAGTTAGCACATTAAGCTTGCAGTAATTCAATGTAAATTAACAAATTAGCTTGTAAACATAACCCTATATTATATAACAAGAGCCTGATCAATTACAGAGCAACCTGCCTTATGTAATTCATAAACCTAAAATCTAAGGCACTGTATACAACGATCTGGTCCGTAGCCATGTAGATGACTACAACTTGATGAAAAGCTACTGTGCAAGATGATGGAAGAAAGAGCGCAGTATATATTTTTTGCTGTCAACATCCGTCAACTGTGTTGTAGATGATATCACAGCAGGTCCCTGCAAATCAGCATCTAGTTTGAGGGCAAGCTAATTTCTCACTGTCTGCTGTTCCTGGTGCAGCGTATGGCTGCTAATGCCTAGTCTAAGGCTGACCATAGGCCTTAGAAAAACTAAGAATGTCTGCAATTAAATTGCCACTTGGAACATTTGAGCAGCCTGGCAGAAGTTTTGACCCTTCCTCATCCATCCCAGATTAATGCTTACCAATGGGTAGATACTTACCAATGTCACTTCTAAAGGACAGAGCTCTGTAAGAAAATGAAAAAGTGGAATGCTTCCTTCTTGAAGTTAAAATGTTCATTTTGCAACTGTTTAGAAAATACAGTAGCTGAAAAGCAGACATAACATGCCAGAAAGAT